GTGTAAACTTGGCTGGGCCTGGTTGAGTGGCTAGGCAGCTGGTGGTAGTTATTCCCCATGATGAGACTGGCAATCAATCCATGGTGGGATCTACCACAAGCAGCTGAGTAGCTGCTTTGGGTATGTGGTCTGCTTGCCATATATAAGAAGCAGCTTTGGGAATGGTTTCTAGCATATGGCAAACTTGGGCCCTGCATGAAGTCATGTCATTGTTCAGCAGCCTGCCATGCTCTGCCAACATTGGGACTTACAATGGACTTGAATTAATGGCCTGCCATGTGGTTTGGTAACATCGGGACTATGCTGTTTTATTTGTCGACCTTGGGCTGGGTAGCCTCAGCTGCCAGCATCTGTCTGAGTGAAGAAATGCCTCTAGCTTCAATGAGCCGGGAGCAAGAGGCAGAGCTGAAGCCCACGGTCGAGGGGCTTTCATACAGACCCTAGTGCCTGGCACTTTGAACTCAGACTTCTAGCCTCCTGAACTGCGAGAGAATAACCTCCTGTTTGTTAAGGCCATCTCACTTGTGGTATATTCTTATCAGAGCGGCACTAGGTATCCAGAACACATTTCTTCCATTTGTTTAGCTACTCTCCCTTCAAAAGCAAGTTTCAGAACCTCTTGTGACATCCATTTTGGTCTTTTCTTCCTTTCCCATCTTTTAAATGACCTTTTGCTTTCTTCATGGATGATGTCCTTGATGTCATCCCTCAATTCATCTGGTTTTTGGTCACTGGTGTCCAGTGCATCAAATCTATTCCTTAGATGATCTCTAAATTCAAGTGGGATATAATCAAGGTCTTATTTTGGCTCTTGTGGACTTGTTTTAATTGTCCCCAGCAGTTGATGGTCTGTTCCACAGTCAGCTCCTGGCTTTGTTTTGGCTGAAGATATTGAGCTTCTCCATCCCTTCTTGCCAGAGATATAGTTGAACTGATTCCTGTGTATTCCATCTGGCAAAATCCCCATGTATAACTGCCATTTATGTTGTTGAAAAAATGTATTTGCAATGAATAAGTCATTGCAAAATTCTATCATGCAATCTCCAGTGTCATTTCTATCACCAAGGTCCTATTTTCCAACTACTTGTGATTCTTCCTTCTTTCCAGCTTCTGCATTTCAATCACCAGTGATAATCAACACATCTCGATTGCATGTTTGGTCAATTTCAGGCTGCAGAAGTTAGTAAAAATCTTCAATTTCCTCATCATTGTCCTTGGTAGTTGGTGAGTAAATTTGAATAACAGTCGTATTAACTGGTCTTCCTTGTAGGCATATGGATATTATACCATCACTGGCAGCATTGTACTTCAGGATAGATCTTGTAACAGTCTTTGTAACATTGAACACCACACCATTCCTCTTCAATTTGTCATTCCCAGCATAGTATATCATATGGTTGTCTGATTCAAAATAGCCAAAACCAGCTGGATGTTTGCAGCTGATTCTTCCCATTTTGCATCATGCCACATTGGCAAATGGAGGTCCTTAAAGTTTTACTCCATCCATTCATCAAGATCAACAATGCTTTTAAGAGGCAACTCTTCCCCAGTCGCATTTTAAGTGCCTTCTGATCTGAGGGTCTCCTCTCCTGGTACTATACTGGACAATGTTTCAGGACTATTCATAAAGTTTTCCAGTAATATATCAGAGTGTTTCACTGCTATTCATAAGGTTTTTCCTGGCCAATTCTTTGAGAAGTTGATGGCCCCTTCTTTCATCCAAGTCTGTCTTAGTCTGGAAGCTCCGCTAAAACCTGTACACCATGGATGACCCTGCTGGTATTTGAAATATTGGTAGCACAGCCTCCAGCCTCACAGCAACACACAAGCCACCACAGTACAACAAACTGACAGATGAGTGGTGCTAAGTATATCCACCCTGAATTTAGAGACCATTTGAAGAACAGACTTGGAGCATTGAACACCAATGACCAAAGACCAGACAAGTTGTAGGATAACAAGGATATCATACACGAAGAAATAAAAAGGTCACTTAAAAGACAGGAAAGGAAGAAAAGACCAAAATGGATGTCAGAAGAAACTCTGAAACTTGTTTTTGAAAGGAGAGTAACTAAAGTGAATGGAAGAAATGATGACACAAAAGAACTGAATATAAGATTTCAAATGGCAGCTCAAGATGACAAAATGAAATATTATAAAGAAATGTACAAAGACCTGGAGATAGAAAATCAAAGGGGAAGGCATTGCTCAAGCTAAAAGAACTGAAGAAAAATGCAAGCTTCAAGTTGCAATATTGAAGCATTCTAACAGCAAGATATTGAATCATGCAGGAAGCACCAAAAGAAGATGGAAAGAATACACAGAGTCACTGTACCTGAAAGAACTGGCTGATGTTCAGCTATTTCAGGAGGGTATATATGATCAAGAACCAATGTCTATTGAAGAAAGAAGTGCAAGCTTCACTGAGGAATTGGCAAAAAACAAGGCTCCAAGAATTTATGGAATACCCATTGAGATGTTCCAACAAGTTTAAGCACTGGAGGTGCTTACTCATCTATGCCAAGAAATTTGTAAGACAAATTGACCAACTCACTGAAGAGATTGATATTTGTGCCCATTTCATAGAAAGGTGACCATCAGAAAGCAGAAATTATCGAACCATATCATTAATATCACATGCAAATGAAATTTTGCTGAAGAGAATTCAAAAAAGGTTGCAGCGGTATATTGACAGGGAAATGCCAGAAATTCAAGCTGGATTCATAAGAAGTTATGGAATGAGGGATATCACTGCTGATGTCAGATGGATCTGGCTGAAAGCAAAGAATACCAGAAAGATGTTTACTTGTGTTTTATTGACTATACAAAGGCATTCAACTGCATGGATTATAATAAATTATGGATAACACTGCAAAGAATGGGAATTCCAGAACACTTAATTGTCCTCATGAGGAACACTTAATTGTGCTCATGAGGAACCTTTACATAGACCAAAAGGCAGTCATTTGTACAAGAAAAAGGGATACTACATGCTTTAACGGGAGCTCTGGTAGCTTAGTGCCTAAGGCACTTGACTGCTAACCAGAAGGCTGGCGGTTCACACCCACCAGCCACTCCTCGGAAGGAAGGTTGGGCAATCCTACTTCTGTAGTGATACTGCCTCGGAAACCCAAGGAGGGGTCACTATGAGTCAGGCCGACTCGACAGCAAATAACAACAACAACAACAACACATGGTTTAAAATCAGGAAATGTGTGCATCATTGTTGTATCTTTTCACCACACTTATACAATCTATTTGCTGAGCAAATAATCAGAGTAGACAGATTACATGAAGAAGAACGTGGCATGAGGATCAGAGGAAGTCTTTAACAACCTGGGATATGCAGATGACACAACCTTCCTTGCTGAAAACGAGTAAGACTTGAAGCACTTACTGATGAAGATCAAAGACTACAGCCTTCAGTATGGATTATACCTCAACATCAAGAAAACAAAAATCCTCACCACTGGACCAATAAGCAACATCTTGATAAATGGAGAAAGACTGAAGTTGTCCAGGATTTCATTTTACTTGGATTCACAATCAACATCCACGGAAGCAGCAATCAAGAAATCAAATAACATAGTACATTGGGCAAATATGCTAATATAAGACCTCTTTAAAGTATTTTGAGAACCAGGATGTCACTCTGAAGACTAAGCTGCACCTAACCCATGTCATGGTATTTTAAACAGCTTATATGCATATGAGAGCTGGACAATGAATAATGATAATCACAGATTTAATGCTTTTGAATTGTGTTGGTGAAGAATACTTAAAATACCATGGTCTCCTAGAAGAACGAACAAATGTATCTTAGAGAAAGTACAGTCAGAATGCTCTCTGGAAGCAAGAATGGCCAGACTTCATCTCATATTTTGGTCATATTGTCAGAAGGGATCAGTCCCTAGAGAAGGATATCATGCTGGGTAGGGTAGAGGGTTAGTGAAAAAGGAGACGACCTTCAACAAGATGGACTGACACAGTGGCTGGACTGACGTGCTCAAGCATAACAATGTTTGTGAGGATGGAGCAGGACTGGGAAGCGTTTTGTTCTGTTGTACTTGGGGTTGCTATGAGTTGGAACTGACTCAACGGTACCAAGCAACAACAAAATGTACGTCTTCCTACTGTAACATACCTAAAATCAAGGTATGTCTTAAAACCACTGTGGGCCAAGCAGCAGTCTAGTTGTCATGGATTTTGCATGTGTAAACGTTAGAAAGCAAACATAAAACTTGGAAAATGAATGTCAGTAGCTTGGAAGAATATCTTGGAAACAGTTGAGGGGTCACTCTTTCAGTCCTTCACAATCAAGACTGTTGGAGTCGCAAAATTACTAGATTTACATATCAATAGAGAGTTCTGGTAGTGCCTAAGGAATCTGACTGCTAACCAGAAAGTTGGTAGTTCAAACCCACCAGCCACTCCTTGGAAGGAAGGTTGGGCAATCTATTCCCATATGATACCACCTCAGAAACCCAAGGAGGGGTCCCTATGGGTGGGATCTGACTCGACGGCAGTGAGTTTGAAAGTGAGACATATCAATAATTGTAAAAGTGACTTACAGGCCTAACATCACTGGCTCTTAGCATTTTTTAGATTCTGAAATGTGGCATCACAACATTCTTAACAGCACAAAAACAATGCTGTGTGGGAAAACATGGGCCTCAACAATGCTCAGTAAATCATTTGGGAAAATGCAAAAGGGTTTTAGAAATATTTAACTAGCTTCTATGTTCCTTCTAATTTATGTACTAGTTGGATATAAGATTAAAATCTTTCTCTAGCTCTATATAAATGGTCTAGTCTTATGAAATAAAAAAACACAAGTAACAGGAAAACTTCACATTAAAAAAGTATATCTACTACACTGCTTAGTATAGTAGAAAATAATAATGTATCTTAAAATGGACAAAATACAATCTACTTGCAACTTAGAGAAATACAAAACATTTTTGCTTAGTTTTATTAAAAAATTGTGTTTGTAGTGCTACCTGTAAACCACAGCATCCTACAGCATTCATTATGGAGGCATTGTGAATAACTCGGTAAGGGATCCCTCTCTTCGCTGCCCTCAGAACAAGATCGCTGTGTGTTGTAGCCCTGTGGTGAGAAAAGACCAGGTTAGATTAAAGTAACCAAGATTATGAGTTTTTAAGACAGTAAAGCTACAATATTTTATGAGTTCAAGTCAATCAAAGTGTCAAGAGCTCTGCTCTTAAATTCTGCTAGGCACCTGCACAAGACTTTCATCTGGGCTTTTGGTGAGAAAAATTTAAGCCTACATATGCCCTTCACAGTGTTAAATTCCAGCTTAACAGTATTAAAGTAGCCTTGGCAGCTACTGAAAAGGAAGTTTCACTTGTTCTTTCTTCCTGTTAATACCTGTAAATGACATCTGTAGAATAAAATTCATCAACTGAACTCGAGCATCAGTTCTCACACTTTTTGGTCTCAAGGCCCCTTTAAACTCTTAACATTACTGAGTAACCACAAAAGCTTTTGTTTATGTGGGTTATATCTATTGATACTTACTGGATTCTATATTAAAACCAAGAAATTTCTTAAAAATTTAAAAAGAAATGTATTAACACAAATAACTTTTTTTAACGAAAAGTAACTACATTTTTCAAAACAAAAAACCTTAGTGAGAGGAGTACAACTTCTCCTCACTTATCAACTATCTCGTTATCCAACATTTCACATTTATGACAATAGTAAAAAATCTACTATCCAACAATTTTGTGCATTAATGATGTATGTCTGGCAATAATGAACACTGAGCTGCAAGGTGAGAGTGACACTGGCTGTGATGATTAAAGTTATGTGCTAACTTGGCTGGGCTGATTCTCAGTGGTTTGGCAGTTATATAATGATGAAATTTTGCAGTTAATGTAATGATGTAATTTTGAAATTCTGTCATGATGTAGTCATCCTCCATTTTGTCTTCTGATGTGGTCATCCTCCATTTTCACATAACATGAGTTTTCATATAATGTCCTGGTCTTTGGAACTTAACCATGTCAATGAGTGAGGACTGAGTGTTTTACAGTTTTACAAGTATCTTTAATGTCTGGCTTTATAGAATACATCTGAACTCTATTCTGTGCTATATTTAATCTGTTACAATAACATATCATACAATCCCTGGAAACTTTACAGTATAATACTCATAAGATAATAATAGGAAGACATGTAACATTTCTTGTTATATAGATAGTTTTTATGTCCTGTACCTGGTGAAAGGGTCTTAGGGAACCCAGAGGTCCCTCTGAGAAGAAATGCTGTAGAATTCTAAACTGTTTCCTACCTAGACCTACTCCTGTATTTCTGCTCTATTTTAAAGGCTTTCTTCTGAAATACAGTAAGGCAGAACATATAGAACATTTTTACAGCCTGTCAGGTTTTCAGTCTTTATATTAGAGTTCTATCCAATACAATCCTAGATGGATTTTACGTTTGTCTAACAGTCATTTCCTTCACAACTTTTCAATCTGGTGATTAGTATATATAGATATGCACGCACATATTATATGAAAGCACATATTCTGCCTGCCGCCTTTCCTTAGGAGTTCTGGTGGCATAATACATCTGACTGCTAACCAGTCACTTCTCAGAAGGAAGACTGGGCAATCTACTTCTGTAGAGATACTGCCTCAGAAACCCATGGAGGAGTCACTATGAGTTGGAATTGCCTCAGTGGCAGTAAGTTTGTTTTAGATAAATCTAAACGGCTATAATTAAGTAGATTGAGGTAGAGAGAGAATATCTGTAAATATAAATATGAATACTATGAAATATAACCCTAGATCAATTTAGAATTACAGGCAGTCTTCAGGTTACAAATTAGATCTATTCTTAAATCTTCCTTTAAGTTCAATTTGAAGGTTAAGTCAGAACACTAATGTAAAGCTAAAAAGCATATTACACTGATTTTAATAGTCTGACCAAATTATCAATAGACTTTCCATTTCGATAATTAAATCACTGTGTTCCTTAGTAATATTTGTAGCTTTCACTGGGATACAGCCTTCCAAATGTACCATTATCCTCATTTTATCCTTTAAATTGACTGACTGTAGTGTAATCCTTTTCCAATGACCGATGGTGTTTCACCTCTTTCTGACTGCTTTATTATTCACACTTTATTTTCAATCATGATTGTTTTCCTTTTTTTTTTTTTTTTGATACTTCACTAGCACTTGCCTTAGATTTATTTTTTGTAGGCATAACTACAAGAGTAAATAAGAGGAAAATTTAAGCCAAACAGAGTTTCATACCTACCAGGGTGTTAACAGCAATGTGATCTGATGAAGTGGATGTCATTCTCCTTCCTGAATTTGATGAACTGAAGCTGTACAATGCTTCATGTGTGTCACAAAGTTATGCATGTGCTCATTATCACAGACCATTTTATTTGACTTAAACTTTTAATATAATAAGCTTTAGAGCAGTTTGTTCTTAAGGATAAGTTGTCCATTAATCAGATGCTCTTAACTCAAGACTTACTGTACACATTATTAAAAGGACTTTTTCCCTCTTGATAAAAACTCCCAGCCCTACTGGGGAATGAAACATTAGCATGTTTGAGAAACTACACATAAACAAGCAGAACCTGTCAACTGGTCAATGCATACCAAGTAGGAAGATCAAGGGCTTTCACCCCATGAGGCAGGCAGACACAGATTAACAAGCGCTCACCAGGGAAGCCTGTTTCTAATCACACACATAAAATAAAAACTAGTATGAAAAAAAAGCATTAATTTTATTTAAAAAAGGGTATGAATGCCAGTTGTAAAGAATGTTTTTAATACCACCTTCAACAGAATTTTACTACTTAACTTGAGAATAAGGAAAACTAAACGAGTCATCTGCTGAGTTGTTTAAATAGATGGACAGAAAGAAAAATTGGTTTAAAATTATCTCTATCACAAGTTCATTTAAAATGACCAGATGTGGTTGGTATACTATTAAGATTCAATGACTTGGCAATGTGATTAAATTTTGTGAAACTGCCATAAATGTGATTTAAATAAATCCCTCAGATTTCAACAATTAAAAAAAAAAAGTAATAAAATTGATTTTTTATCATGATTATCTACATCATATTGTTTCATTAAAAAGAAAACACTGGTTTGAAAGAGGGGCTTAAACTATTATATTGAACACTCCTTCCAGTCTACAGCTTATGAAAATGCTTCATTTATGGTGACTGGGAAATGCGTATTTATGTATGTGTGTATGAGTGTGTTTGTACACATATACATATGACTTTGGTAAAGCCACATGCTGAGAAATAGTAAGAAATCTCTTAAAAATGTGTTACTGGAAATTACTTTAAATGAAATTTCAGAAGAGAATTAATAAAGTACATAAAGATGACCTACTAAAACATACAAGACTTGGCGTGTTTATTTAAACTTTATTTTATAATAATATTAGGTTGTGGGTATAGTACTACAATTTGACACACGTATGGCTGATGTTCTAAATATTCACCAATCCTTGCAACTACATGGTGAGGTGATGTTCTCATTAACTAATGAGAGCACTGTAAATTGGTACAATCCTGTTGAAAAGTAATTTGACAATATGCTTTAAGAGCTAGAAAATGACTACATCCACAACCTTTCATTTTTTTGATCTCATAAACTTATTTTGAAGAATCTAACTAAGGAAACAATGAAAAATGTGGGGATGAATAAGAAGGAAAAAAGGGAAAAGGATCATATACATTAATCTTTACTTGGCAGTTTTATTTATACTAGAGGGAAAAAAAGGACTAATGATAATAATGGCTGACATTTATTTGACAGTTAGTAGATGCCAAGTAGTGTTCAAATGCACAATATATGGAATAGAAGCAATCAAATGGCCTGCATTAAGGCACAGGAGATAGGTGAATAATCATACATTTTTCACGTGTGTGCTACTGGAGCAAAAGGCATATAATATACTGATAAAAAATTATGTGCTCATTTAATATAAAATATATATCGTTAAGAATATATTCAAACACAGAATGTAATAACAAATATAACCATTGTTAAAACAAGTATGTTTAATAAAGACCTTGTTCAACTCCTCCATCTGGAGTTGAATGCTTGAGACTGCTCTCTCTCTCTCATGCCTGAGTCAGATCTATTGATGTAGTATTTTTTTAGAGTAATTTTCATTATGTGATCAACTTCAACATCCTTTTCAATAATTGGATTAAAGGGCAAAGATGAGAACTACATCAACTAGTTATGACTTTTAATTACCTACCTCAAGAAAATTAAGACTGAGACTATTAAATAATTTTTTCTGCTTTTCTTAAATTTTCATTCAAAATTGTAGAAAAGGGCTTACAATGAAAAAAAAAAGACTTATTTTTTTCCTTGTTCTATATAAGGAAGAATGTGCATGCTTTGTTGCATTCCACAGTTCCTTCCTGGATTATCCATCTAGTCTACTCAAACTGTAATTCTTCAAGACCCAATTAAAGTTACATATTCCTTACTACCCAGTCTCCAACTACTACATCCTGACAGCAATCCTGCAAGTAAATAAAAATAACTACATACAGTAAATATTACTTAAATGTGAGTCTGAATGCCAGGTTATACATGACCAGTCACTGACAAAGAACAAATTAATTGTCCTTTGTCAGAGAAAGAGTTCAAAAATAACGTACTTACTCCTAAATAAAATAAAGGAGGATTCATGGAAGAAGTGTCATCCTAAACAATCTATTATTTTACTCCTCATCCACTCCACAATTCCCAACTACTGGACCCTTATCTAGACCCAGCTTGAGTACCAACTCTTCTATCAAGTCACTACTGATTAAGTCCATTATTCTCTTCTCCTGGCTTCAGTGACAAAATACTTTCTTGGTTTTCCTCCTCTTCTGGCTCATCCTCCTATACTAGATAGACCATGAAATAAATGCTGGAGCTTTTTGCTATGTCTTTTTCTCTCACCCATCTTCTCTCCTAAGGTGATTCCCTCTGTTCTTCTGGCTTTAAATACCAACTATATACTGATGATTACCAAAGCCATACCCTAGGATAAGGCTCCCTTGAGCTACAGAAGCAATTATCTAACTGCCTACCTGACATCTACAACTTAAACTTTTTCCAGAACCAATTCTTATTTTTCCTAATTCTGTTCCCTGTTGGTTTTCATCATTTAAATAAGTGGCATCATCAATTACTCAGTTACTAAAGCTAGAATCTGGGAAGCTAAATGTACTTTCCTTTCACTCATCTACTACATCCATCCTGGCATTTCTCCCTCCTAAATCCATCATCCCCTGTGTACCAGAGTAGAACTGTACTCCCCAGGATTTTCAATACCTAAATTTTCAGAAGCAGATTGCCAGGCCTTGTTTCTGATGTGCCTCTAGACGGATTAACTGCCAGCCTTTCAGTTAGCAGCTGAGTGTGGTTTGTATCACTAAGGCAGATAAATATACCCCAACCTGATTTTCTCTCTCTTCCACTACAGCCATTCTTGCCTCCTTAAAATCCATTCATCCATGCATTTAGAGTGATGTTTTCAAAATATCAAAGAAAGAATCCAATTGTGATTATTTCCAGCTTAAGATTCTCTAGGTTTATTACTGTACTTGAAATAAAATCCCTATTCCTTCCAAGTCCCTATGTGGTCTGGCTTCCGCCCACTTCTACAACTTTTTCTCATGCTCTTCTCGCCCTCATTCATTATGCTCCAGGAACCCTGGCCTTTCAGTTCCTCAAAAACATTCCTCCAATTCCCTCTGCTCTTCTCTCCTGATATTCCTCTTCATTCTTCAGATACCAGCTAAAATGTCACCTCCACGGAATGTCTTTTCCCTATGACTGTATAAATAAGTCTCTTCTTGTTATTCTCTGTATTTTTTTTCATTTACACACTTATCAAAATTTAGTATTTTTTCCTTTGTCTAATGACAGCTTTCCCCAATAAACTGAAACCCATGTTTTATCATCCAGTGTATACCCAGCATACAGGACTGCCTAAATGAGAAACGTATACAAAAGACATTTGTTAAATGGATAAATATCAGTCCAAGATATGCCTAGTCTTTCTTTCTTTGTAACCTTAGGCAAAGTACTCAACAATTCTTTATATTAAATTAGTATCTACCATACTCCAAGTTTTGCAAAGGACACTAAGGTGACAGAAATGTCAGGGGTACACAAATCTAGAGGAAGAGTACATCCATATATTTATAAAAAAGTAGTTGTGAGGCACTATATAAAAAATATTATGAATGATACTCATCATCAGTTAAAGGGAGGGCATAACTTCTGATTGAGGTAATTAGGGAGTAAATCATGGAGAATGAGATGTGTGAGCTGGGCTTTGAAAGATGAGTAGGGTTCTGACAGGGTAGAGAAAGAGCATTACAGATAAAAGAAATAGTTTAAATAAAGCTGAAAGGTGACAAAGCCTGATGATCATAATCCAGCAAACAGAATGGTAAGAGTTAGCACAGCAGTGATAGGGCATAAGGTGGAAGGGTAAGTTGGTCAGTGTTTTTAATATCTGGTCAATAATGGAGGTAACAGTTCTCTTTTGTGAACCCAAATGAGAGTTTCAAATTGTGGGTTTACAAGTATGAATTTGACCACAGCATAGGTAATGAGTTAAGAGTCTGTACGTGGACCAGGCAAAATACTACTCTATTAGACCAGTTGTACAACAAGAGCTTGAATTAGGTAGAATGGTGGCAAAGAATATAAAAAGACGGAAAGAATATAAAAAAAACTTGGCAAAACAAAAGTCTGTAACAGTGCTTCTCAAATTATCTGTGATGAAAGGATAATATTTTTTTTAAGTTCTAAATTGCAATAGAACAATAGTTTTGGAAAATGCAATACAAATGAATTATTAGAAAAATAAAATACAAAATAATATAAAATAAACCCCCAATTTCTTACTACTAGATTCAACAGACATAAAATTACTCTTTAAAAATGCTAGAAGTTTGTAAGTGTTTACTCTCAATTTTGAACCTATCTCAACATGAACTGGTAATGATCCGCAAACCATTCTTTGGCATAAACCAAAAACCACACTTACTGCTGTCAAGTTGGTCCCGATTCATAGCAACCCTTCTTTGGGTTTCTGAGGCAGTATCTCTAGAGAAGTAGATTGCCCAGTCTTCCTTCCAAGGAGTGGCTGATGGGTTTGAACCGCCAGCCTTCTAGTTAGCAGTCAAATGCCATAGGCACTACACCACCAGAGATGGTTTTTAGACTTTGTTACTCATTGGATACCAGGAAAGTCAAAAGTGATCTGAGATTTCTTATCTAGGTATCTACAAGAACCATCAAGTTGGGAAGTTTGGTCAGAGAAGGTGTCACTGTAGAAACCATGGACTTTAGTTCAATGAATCAGTGCAATAATGAGAAAACCCTACCAGAGACCCAAGACATTTCTATTAATGATTTTTCATTTGCCCTTATTTTATGTTACTATCTTATGGCTAAAAAAAAGAAAGTAGGTACTGCTAATTTGAGGAAGTCTCACTTTTATAAAAAACAATGTCAGAGGCTACCACAAATTATTAAAATATTTAAAAATGTGTGATTATCAAATGTCATTTGCAACCAAGTATAATGATTCACAACAATGATTCACAATTTTTGACTCCTTCTATTGATATAAATTACTTTCTCTTACCAGACACATATATATGTATCTTCATTCTTTTGAGAAAACATCCTTGGTGGTAAGCTTACAGTGATTTAATTGTCCTTATGTTTCTTAAATTTGTGACATAAATCTTGAGTCACCAGCTGGAGACAAAGAACTATTCTGTTTGACTTGACATTAGAGATTGATGATGCTTGACTGGACAAGTAGAAGCCTATCTTTTTGGTAATGAGGAAGACCAGAGCTCCCAATGGACATAAGAAATCAAAATCAGAGGCTTAATAAACAGATAAATTCAAGGCAGTATTGCCAGATACTACATATTTAAAAAGTGAGAAAGAAAAAGCCTAGGATAAAGGAAGCAGAATATGCTCACAATTATATGTAGTACACGGAAGGTATGACTTTTGATAATAACCTATTTAATAATGATATACTACTTAAGTCATTTGATGCCCTAAGTGACCTTCTAAAAGAATAGCAGAAACAATGTTACAAACTTTAGAGTCTATACTTGATAACTCATGTGGTGATACATAAGTGATAATTTCTTTAGCAAGCAGATTTTCTTCATTAATTGCAAAGATAAAAGAACATTTAAACTATGAAGGTTTAGACAGGTTCTAGGTAAAAAAAGTCTTTTATCAGGATCTTGCAGGTGAAAGAACGTTTTTAATGCAACAGATTAATTTTCATTGATTAAAATAAGTAAATGAATTAAAACTCAAATATGCTTTGACTTACCCAAAGGGATCACCAACCACAAGGAATGCAACATCACTGAGGTCAGCATCCTTTAAAATATTATCTGCTTTTTGTTCTACTTCTTCTCTATCAGCGAGAATCAATTTTCTTCCGTAAAACTCCTCCTAGAGATTTAAGTTCAGTATCAAAAAGAGACAGCAGGTGACCATTTCAACACACAGAAAAACAATCTTTGTCTGGGTCTGGTGGAAATCTTGGCAACCTTCCAAATACAGATCACTGAATACAATTCATCAGTGAGCTAGTACTCTATATCATGTTGCAATTAAACTCTGTCTTTGGGGCTATCTTAATATCCCAAGAGAAGGCAGACCTCTTAACATCTGAGGCTGTTTGCATTTTAAATTTACTTCTAAATGTACTTCTAACAGACCAAGCAGAACACAGTAAGAAGAACAGAGAATACATATGTATGAACCTTAATTCAGAAGCAAAATAATGCAGAATAAACATATTTTAATAACTGTAGACATATATGACAGGGTTTTATTAAATTTCCTATGGGAAAATCTATAGGACCTTGCTAAAACAAAAGCCAACTTCATTGGAAAATAATAGAAAATTAACATTTAGTTGTTTAAGGAACCATTGGGCATTTTTGCATAATACCAAGAAAGACTAATTTAAAAGTGTATTCCTAGGTCCTGCTAAAAAAGCAGAATTGCAGGGGGGCAAAGAATTCTAAATACATATGAAATCTCCATAAACACTACTTTGCAAATTAATCCCCTGAATCGCAAATCTAAAGAAAAAATCCAGCAGGCAAAACTTAACTGGAGCAGCATCATATATATAATGAGAGAGTGAGCTAGTGTGCTAGTTATGCAAGATCATGAATCTTATAACTGATTTCCTGTGGAGTAATCTGCAATTTAAGTACAGAAAAAGTGGATACCTAAATAAAACTATTTCTTACACACTGATTTTGTTTGATTCATTAAAAATTACAATCACTGCTGTCGAAGATTATTTGATACTCAAACAAATGTTTGATATCTATCAAACAAATGAGTAAGCGAACAAATAATTATGCATCCAAAAATAAAGTCTATAGTTCCAACTTTGATAATTATTTCCTAATAAGTAATGAGAGTTTCTGCTTTCTTCATATATGATGTCCTGGATGTTATTCCACAACTCATCTGGTCTTTGGTCATTAGTGTTCAATACATTAAACCTATTCTTGAGATGGACTCTAAATTCAAGAGGGATATAACCCGTGAATCTATGATGGCCTTTACACACACTTCAGGTCTGGAACCAAACTGACCTTTGTGGCTCAACTTTCAGCTAAATGATATATAGGACTATAAGGTGAACAGTAGTACCAGAGAGGTATGCACGCCTTAGAAAATCAACCACACAAGATCAAAGGGTGGCATTTGCCCAGGGAAAAAGCTTGGGAAACAGAAAGGGATAGGAAAGAACAAATAGAAATGGTAATCACAAAGAAGAAGTGGGAAGAATGCTGTTACATCATGGGGACTGCAATCAATGTCACAAAATAAATTATATGTGAATTGTTGAAAGGAAAATAAATTTGCTCTGTAAACCTTCACCCAAATTACAACAATTTAAAAAAGGAACAAGAAGAAGCTATTCAAGCAGCCAACAAAAACATAAAGAAATGCTTGCAATCATTAGCCATTCCAAAAAAAACCAAACTCACCGCCATGGAGTCGAATCCCTCTCATAGTGACCCCTCCTTGGGTTTCCGAGGCGGTATCTCTACGGAAGTAGATTACCCAACCTTCCTTCTGAGGAGTGGCTGGTGGGTTTGAACCGCCAGCCTTCTGGTTAGCAGTCAAATGCCTTAAGCACTACGCCACCAGAGCTCATTAGAGAGATGCAAATCAAAACAATAATGAGATATCATCTCATCCCAGCAATAATAGCTAAGTTCAACAAGATAGAAAACAATGAATGCTGGTAAGGCTGTGGAAAGATGGGATCTCTCATACATTGCTGGTAGGACGGTAAAATGGTACAACCACTGTGGAAAACCATATGGCACTATCTTAAAAAAGTTTGGAAATAGAAATATTTGATCATGCATCCCTACTACTATAAATATATCCTAAAGAGGTGAGATCTGGGATATGAATAGATATATATATATCCATGTTCACTGCAGCACTATTTACAATAGCAAAGAGATGGAAGCAACCTAAGTGCCCATAAAAAGAGGAATGGATAACCAAACTAGGTACACACATATAATGGAATACTATGCAACATTAAAGAATAGCAAAGAATTAGTCATGAATCACCTCATAACATGGATGAACTTGGAGGACATTATGCTGGGTGAAATAAGTCAATTGCAGAAGAACAAATATATTAGTCTATTACTATAAAAAGTCACAGAAAGGTTTACACAGGGAAATTTTGTTGGTTACCAGGAATAGGAGAGCAGAGAAGGGAGGGAAAATTGCTGGATAGATAAGAGACAGGTGTTGATGTTGGTGAAGTGAAACGCAATATAACCAAAGCATGTGACCAATACACCCACATACAATCAGGTGGGATATACTCAAGGTTGTACTTTGGCTCTCATGGACTTGTTTTAGTTTTCTCTGACTTCATCTTGGACTTTTATATGAGTAATTAATGGTCTGTTCCACAGTCAGCCTCTGGCCTTGTTCTGATTTGATTCTGAGTTCCTCCATGTCTCTTTTCACAGATACAGCCTAGTTGATTCTATGTATTCCACCTGGTGAGGTCCACAAGTACTCTTTATGTCACTGAAAAAGACATTTGTACTGAATGTAAAATTCTTGTAAAATTCTATCATGCCACCTCTGGGGTAATTTCTATCACTAACATATTTTCCAAATACTGATCATTTTTCTTTGTTTCTAACTTTTGCATTCAAATCACCAATAATTATCAATGCATCTTGCTTGCATGTTTGGTCAATTTCAGACTGCAAAAGTTGGTAAAAGTCTTTAATTTCTTTATTTTTGGCATTAGTGAGGAGCTCTGCTGGCATAGTGGGTAAGACAGAAGGTCATTGGTTCAAACCACTCCTTGGGAGGAAGATAAGGCAATCTACTTCCATAATTACAGCCTTGGAAACTCAATTGGGATTGCTATGAGTTGAAATCGACTCAATGGCAGTGAGTGTAGTTTAGGTTTTTGGCATTAGTGGTTGGGGCATAAATTTGACTAAACATCCTATTAACTGGTCTTCCTTATATGCATATAGATATTATTCTATTACTGTCAGTGTTGTACTTCCAGCTATATCTTGAAATGTTCTTTTTGACAACGAAAGGGGTACTGTTCCTTTTCAATTTGTCATTCTTGGCATAGTAGACAATATGAACGTCTGATTCAAAATGGCCAACACCAGTCCGTTTTAGCTTGGTAATGCCTAGGACATTGATCTTTATTGTTTTGTTTCTTTTCTTTTCTTCTTTCTTTGACAACTTATTTTCATAGATTTATACTTCATAATTTCACATTCCAGTGACTAGTGGATGTCTGCAGCTGCTTCTTCTCATTTTGAGTTTTGCCCTATCAGCAAATGAAGGTCCCGAAAGATTTACTCCATCTACGTCATTAAGGCCAACTCTACTTTGAGGAGGCAGCTCTTCTACTGTTGCATTTTGAGTGCTTTCCAAACTAAGGGACTCATCTTCCAGCACTATAAAAGGCAATGCTCCGCTGCTATTCATAAGGTTTTCACTGGTAAATTTTTTTGGAAGTAGATCATGAGGTCCTTCTTCTTAGTCTGTAAGCTTCACTGAAACTGTTTACGTAGTTGAGGATTTCATTTTACTTGGATGCACAATCTATGCCTATGGAAGCAGCAGACAAGAAACCAAACAATGTATTGCCCTTAGCAAAAATGCTGCAAAAAATCACTTTAAAGTGTAAAAGAGCAAAGATGTCACTTTGAAGATTAAGGTGTGCCTGACCCAAGTACTTTCAACTGCCTCATAAGCATGTGAAAGTTGTATAGTGAATAAAGAAGACTGAAAGTCAGATGCAGTCTAATTATGGTGTCAGCAAAGAATAATGAACACACCACCATGAACTACCAGAAGAATAAACAAATCTGCCATGAAATAAAGTACAGCCAGAATGCTCCTTAGAAGCAAGAATGGCCATACTTCATCTCATCTACTTTGGTCATGTTGTCAGAAGGGACCAGTCCTTGGAGAAGGTTATTATGCTTGCTAAAATAGAGGGTCAGTGTTAAAGGGCAAGACCCCCAACTAGATGGACTGACACCGTGGCTGCAACAATAAACTCAAGTATAACAAAGATTGTGAGGATGGTACAGCACTGGAAAGTGTTTTTGTCTGCTGTAAATAGGGTCACTGTGCATCAGAACCAACTTGACAGCATCTAACAACAATAAGCTCTATGCGTGATGTTATGAGACAGTGGTGAACAACACATAAAAGACCCCTGGTAGCATAGTGCCTAAGGCACTTGACTGCTAACCAGAAGGCTGGTGGTTCAAACCCACCAGCCACTCCTCAGAAGGAAGGTTGGGCAATCTATTTCCATAGTGATACTGCCTCGGAAACCCAAGGAGGGGTCACTATGACTCGGGTCCGACTCGACGGCACTTAATAACAACAACCACCACCAGCTTTACTGGTTTTGCTTCTCTAGAGAACCCAGATCAACACACTGAGGGAGAGGTAAAAGAAGGAATTAAAGACAAGCAAAAATATATCCAGATAGAGGTAGCCTTGAACAACAAGGCCATCTCATCTTTCAGGCCATTTTCTAAGATTGGAGGGTAGTCATACTCAGATTTGGGCTAAAGACAGATGGAAACTTAGTAAATGTCTTAGCTGCTGACATCATTTTTCTCAGTGTAAAGTCCTTTATGGTCTTCTCTGTCCTTCCTATCTTAATCCACACAAATATACTTAGAAGGCAAGGAAACAGAAGGCATTAGTATCTAGGAGATGGATTCCAGAAAAATAAGGGAAGAACAAACAGGTATGTTAGGAAAAAATGAGTTACTTCAGTGAAGCCCAAGAACAAGCATAGCAAATGCCTTGTGCTTTGCTCCTTCATGCTTTTTTGCTCACAATTATTTCTTCAGCATGGAATACCCTTCCCCTACCATACCTTATTTTTAATAACAATAAGTCTTCCTTTTCCCCTTACCAAATGTTATTTTAATAACAGTAATTGTGATACACTTACACTGGGCTCACGCTGTGGTCAGTCATGGTTCTAAGAATTTAATGCTTATGAATTCATTTAATCTTCACCACAATCTACGAAATAGATACTATTTTTCATCTCATTTACAAATAAGAAACAGAATCATAGAAAAGTTAAGTGACTGTCAAAGCTCACAGACCTAGGTGGTTGTAGAACTTTCTACGTACTACAAATGGAACATATGTATATTATATCACTACCTATGTGACTTGAGGCATGTATCTCAATCTCTCTATGCCTGTAAAATTGGAGCAGTAACTGCAAAGTAATAATAATAAAACATCATACATGAAAAAAGCAAATGGTCATTAAAAAGACAGCAAAGGAAGGACCAAAATGATTTCAGAAGAGATTCTGAAACCTGCTTTTGAACAGAGAGTAGCTGAAGCAAATGGAAGAAATGACGAGATAAAAGAAGTGAACAGAAGATTTCAAAGAGCAGCTTGAGAAAACAAAGTAAAGCTTAATAATGAAATGTGCAGAGATCTGGAGTTACTAAAGCAAAAGAGAAGAACACACACACAGCATTTCGCAAGCTGAAAGAAATGAAGAAAAACTTCTAGCCTCAAGTTGCAATACTAATTGAATGATGCAGGAAGCTTTAAAAGAGGATGGAAGGAAAAGAAAGTCACTATACTAAAAAGAAATGGTCGATGTTCAACTATTTTATGAGGTAGCATATGATCAAGAACCAACGGTACTAAAGGATGAAGTCTATGCTGCACTGAAAGAACTGGTGAAAAACAAGGCTCCAGAAATTCACAGAATACCCACTGAGATGTTCCAACAAGTATAAACACTGGAGGTGCTTACTCGTTTATGACAAGATATGGCATAACTGACTGGAAGGGACTGACATATGTGCTCATTCCAAAGAAAGATCATCCAAAAGAATGTGGAAATTACTAAATATCATTAATATCACATGCAAATAAAATTTTGCTAAAGATACCACAAACAGTTGGAGCAATAAATTGAGAGAAAACTGCCAAAAATTCAAGCTGGATTCAGAAGAGGATATGGAACGAGGGATATCATTGTTGATGTCACATGGATCTTGGCTGAAAGCAAAGAATACCAGATATATGTTTACCTACATTTTACTGACTCTGAAAAGGCATGTGATTGTGTGGATCATAACGAATTATGGGTAACATTGCAAAGAACAGGAATTCCAGAACATTTAATTCTGCTCATGAAGAACTTGTACATAAACTAACAAGCTGCTACTCAAACAGAACAAGGAGATACTGCACGGTTTAAAATCAGGAAGGGTGTGTAACAGGATTATATCCTTTCACCATACTTATTTATTCTGTATGCTGAGCAAATAGTCCGAGGAGCTGAACTATATCAAGATGACTGTGGCATCAGGATTGAAGGAAGACACATTAACAGACTCATGATATGCAGATGGTACAACCATGCTTGCTGAAAGTGAAGATGACTTCAAGCACTTACTGACGAAAATCATCAAAGACTACAGTCGTCACTATGGATTACACCTCAACATAAAGAAAACAAAAATCCTCACAATTAGACCAATATGCAACATCATGATTGATGGAGGAAAGATTGAAGTTGTCAAAGACTGCATTTTACTTGGATCCATAATCAAAACCCATGGAAGCAGGAATAAAGAAATCAGACATCATATTGCACCAGTCAAATGTATTGCAAAAGACTTCTTTAAAGTGTTCAGAAGCAAAGATGTCACTTTGAAGACTAAGGTGTGCCTAACCTAAGCCAAGGTATTTTCAATTGCCTCGTGTACATGTAAATAAGGAAGACCAAAGAATTGAAGCTCTTGAATTGTGGTGTTAGCAAAGAATACTGAAAATATCATGGAAGAAAAAATAAATCTGTCCTGGAGGAAGTGTAGCCAAAATGGTCTTTGGAAGTAATAACAGCTAGACTTCATCTCACCTGCTTTGGTCATATTTTCAGAAGGGATCATTCCCTGGAAAAGGGTATCATGCTTGATAAAGCAGAGAGTCAGCAAAAAAGAAGACCTTCAACAAAATCAACTGACACAATGTTTGCAACAATGGGTGCAAATGTAACAGGGATTATGAGCACAGGGCAGGGCCAGGCAGTGTTTCATTTTGTTGTGCATGGTGTCACTATGAGTTGATGTTGACTTGATGGCATCTAACAACAATGATGTAACAATTCAACATATTAAGCATTTAAAATAGTGCATATTAAGTGTTCTATAAATGTAATGATTATTATTGTAGAGGAACAGATAGTTTAGCACCTTAACAAAGCACACATAATTTAACTGTAGGTGATGTTGTATAAGTAACAACTCTACAAATATATTTCTGGAAGGAAAAAAAAATTACTTAAAAATGTTATAGCAACCAATGCTATACTTCAAATTTGGCTAGCACTCCAAATTTACAATGCATTTTCACATATGTCATCTTAACCCTTAATAAACCTCCAATGTGGTCATTTTATCTATTTTACAAATGAAAAACTGAGGTTCAGAAGTCTGGAAATAATCTCATTAACAAGTACTGTTTCTCAATGCTTTTGTGGCAGACATTAGGCTGAGAACCTTTGAGGTAGGTACTTTTCCCCATTCTACACTTAAGAAATTAAAATTAAGGAACTTGTCCAAGGTCACGTAACTAACATGTGGCAGAGCTAGGACTAAAAGCCAGGTCCAAACTTCCCTCTATGCCATGTTCTGACACTTAACTAAGCTGCTGATTAGCTATTTATCTCTGCTCTCAGATGATTTTTAATTTCATTCTCAATTTCCTTGATCACTGTTTAGAGAAATTATTTCCATCATCTTGAGCTTAAATATTTTGGTTCTGTTCTACAAGTGATGAAAACTGGAGCCAACAGATCAAAGTTGAACAACAGAGACAACTTTTATTTCCATGCAAGACTGATTCAAGCAGCAGTCCTTAAATCCGTAAGATTTTAAAGTAACTTTGAGCTCTGCTGACTTCTCCAGGTTTTGACTTTCAGAGTCCAGAAGACTTGAAATTCTCTAGGTTACCTCTCTATTTTGAAGCTCCTCATGCAGATAATTCTAAAAGCCTCCCCTGTAACACATCTATAAATCTTCCCATTAAGGGCATTCTACCTAGAGTTTGACAATAAACCTAAACTTGACCCTTCTTCCAAATTTACTGAGCCCTTAATGAGAGCCAGCTAAATGTATGATACTGTAACAAATCTCAAGGCTGATTAAGTCTCCATGCTGAATGCATGCAAGTGTATGGGTGTAAGCCTTATTGGAAGGACTATTTAAAGGTAAAATCTCTTTAGATACGACACAGACAGATTACCATTCCCTATGGAATTACTTCAAAGAGGGAAGTTTTCAGCTTAGTTTCTAAATGTATAATCAACTCATTAAGGCTGCACCAGCACTTCAACACTGAACTCAGTAAAGATTTCTCGGCTGTGAAATAAAGCCAAGTTTTGATAACTATCCCCAAGAGTATGAATTAACTTTTCCTTTCCTATTTACTGAAGAAAATCACACAATTAGACTTGTAAAGCAGAGCAAAACAACCTTTTCAAGTTATTTGGTCAGTGGGTATTTCCAGTCTTGTACTTTTCAGATCCTTAATGAGGAGGGAGTGTAAAGAGTTTAAACAGGCAGAGGTGAAATTTTGTTCAGCTTACTGTAAAAAAATCAGACGTTAGCTTTCTTCCTTGAAGGCTGGGATATCTTAAGCACCTACCAGGGCTTCCTTCCCTACAGTCAGGACTGAGGTGTAGGCCTCCAGATACACTCGACTGCAACGCTTTACAACTTCCAGACCCTTGACTGTGATGTCCTTGGCATCTCCCAGGCCCAATCCGATCAAGTAAAGCATTTTACACTCGGAGGGAAACTGTAGGATAAAGTGAACAGGAAAGTCAAATGTCAGCTGCACCAAGGATGCTTATAATTAGCGACGAACGCGAAAACGAAAACCAAAGTAGCACAAGGAGGGCACCATATCTCAGGCAAGTACTGAGTGAGGCTTAGAGAACGTCATTCCACGCCTCTTGAGGCTAGAATAAGTGTTTTTAACAACCTTACTCAACTTTTTTCTCTTATTATCCAAGCTTGGGGGCAGCCATTTACCCGCTAAGAGAATCGTAGCTAGTTTCCTGTCTTCCCCAATCGCCTAAACGTCCCTTTCCCGCAAAGACAGCGAACTAAATACATAATCCAAGGCAAATCAGGATCCACGCCGCCGGGCTCACCTACGTTGCCGCAAAACGCCGCGGTTTTTACTGCATTTTACGACTAGCATAAGGGGAGGGGCGAGCAGGATCCAGGGGATTTGAAGGGGTGACCGGGTCTTGGCTACTGTACGCGTGACCTGCGAGGCTTCTAGGGCAGGAGGTGAAAGGTCAGTCGGCCAGGGGGAGTCTGTCTGGCGCCCACAGTATGACCTCCGGGAAAAGACCAGATATGCCCACGATTACCCCCACTGACCAACAGCTTAAACATCCCCATCCTGGAGCTAAGTGAAGGAGCTCGCTGGGAAGAGCCCAACCCGAAGTTGGGCGGTGCTTGGGGAAGGCGGGGAGAATGAGGAGGGGCCCCGCGCGCTGCTATGGGGTGACGGGTAGGAGGTTTTCCCTCATTTGCCCCGGTTTTGCCTAAGTGCCCAGATTTCCATCCCCGCGTTTTCACTCTGTTCCAGTTGAACCAGCAGCCACCTCGAATTGGTAAAAGCGGCGTTGAGTGTGGTTCAGATTTCCCAGCGGGCCAGTGACTTCTCAGCTCCCAAAACTTCCTTTTGGAGTGCCCCTGTGGGAGTGACCTGCACTTGCTTTAGTCATCCTCAGTATTAGAAAGCCCAGAAATTCTTGTGTTAGGGAAGTGACCTTTAAGAGTGCTCCGGAGTTTAAGACTTTTCTTAAGTGCTTCTATAGGGGGAATTCTTATATTGTGGTTAGTTAGATGTAGTTCTGGTATCAGAAAGGTTTGTTTTTACTGAAAATACTCTTAGTATGGTCACTAGTGACTTCATCCAAGTTAAAAAAAAAAAAAAAGGCAATTTACATTGACCAGTGAAAATCTTACGAATAGCACCGAAACACTGTCTGATATGTTACTGGAAAACTTTATGAATAGTCCTGAAACACTGTGTGATATGTGCTGGAAGCTGAGCCCCTCAGGTCGGAAAGTGCTCAAAGTATGACTGGGGAAGAGCTGCCTCCTCAGGGAAGAGTTGACCTTCATGATGTGGATAGAGTAAAGTTTTCAGGACCTCCATTTGCTGATGTGGCACATCTCAAGATGAGAAACAGCTACAAATTTCCATTAATAATCAGAACATGGAATGTACAAAATATGAATCTAGGAAAATTGGAAGTTGTCAAAATCAACTCAATGACAGTGGGTTTGATTTTGGTTTTCACTGGCCAATTCTTTGAGAAGTGGATAGCCTCTTCCTTCTTCTGAGTCTGTCTTCATCTGGAAGCTCCGCTAAAACCTGTTCACTGTGGGTAACCCTGCTGGCATTTGAAACACCGGTGGCATAGCCTCCAGCCTCACAGTGACACTCAAACCACCAAAGTATGACAAACTGACAGACAAGTTTGTCTCCCTTAGCTGGTCCAAACTGCTGTGCTCAATTCCTGGTCTTTCACACCGTGATGGCTTACTGATCTGCCCTGAGGCATTCCACACAAAGATCCCCACTTCCACTGTGCCTGCCTGGCTTACTGCAGCCTGCCCTAGCGGTGCTCCACACAAACACCTGCCTTCTGTTGTGGCCAAGCTGGCTTACTGCATCCTGCCCCTGAGGCGCTCCACATACACATACACACCTTCCACTGCACCAGGGCTGGCTTACTGCCACCTATTTTTTATTTTTTAAAAAAACCTGACTATTCACTTTCATAATTTCATGTATTTCTAATATTTCGCTGACTCAGATTTCAACCTCCCATTCAGACCATGCTCTCAAACTCCTATTTAATTTCGCTAGATCTTCACATAGAGAACTCAGTGATGTGTCAAATTCAACACATTCAAAGCCAACTCCATTATCTTTCAACTTGGCTTTACCTTTGGTGTTGTATACGTTGGTTGGAGCCATTATAGTTCATAGACTCAACAGGCACCTGAGAGAAACCCTTATATCCAGTCTTTCCTGTACTACCCAGAGGTGTGTCTAAAAAAAATAGCACCTATGGCAAGCACTAAAATTGTGCCCCTGTCCAAACATCTGACATCCATCTTTTAAATGACTTTACTTTAATAAAACCAAACAAAAGGAGCTGTTTGGCATTTGACTGCTAACCAGAAGAAGGCTGGCGGTTCAAACCCACCAGCCACTCAGAAGGAAGATTGGACAATCTACTTCCATAGATTACCACTTCGGAAACCCAAGGAGGGGTCGCACTTATGCAAAGCACTAAAATTATGCCCCTGTCCAAACATCTGATACCCATCTTTTAAGTGATTTTACTGTAATATCAGTTTAAAAATACAAGCTCGTTAATCTTTCACGTTAGTACGTTATGTCACTACATGAAAATTTCAGCTGTATCTTCCTTGCTTTCACTGATGCACATTGGTCTATGATGTGCTCATTTTTTTTGTTTTTCAGATTCTTCTCTTTCTACATTCAGCAGAGCAAGATCACACAGTCCTCCTTGACCTATGGAAGCTCTTAAATATGCAAACATGTTTTAACTTGCTGAATGATCTCTCACAGCTGGAAGTGGAAACTGAGATAGTTAACAGAAACTGCTCAGTGGGACCCATCTTCTGGTGGTGCCCAGGGCATGTGCCATATCTGCCATAATTTAGATACGACTCTGCTACTACCACTGACCTGGTTCACTTCCTCATTCTCTCACTCCTATCACTAGTCATCTCAGGGGACACATTTATTTGAGTAAGACACAATCTGAAAATGTCTTTTTTCTACTGCATATCCTTTTAGGTCAAGAAAAAGTTTAGACCACATGATTATTCATGATGTGGTCACTTCTTACATCTCCAGCCTCATCTCTCTCCACTTCAGCCACTCCACAAGAAAGATGAGGCAGTCAGCTTCCATAAACATCTACAGTCTTGAAACCCAACAGAGGTTGCTATGAGTCAGATTTAATTCAATGACAGCGAATTTGGTAAGGTAGTTGTTACATGTCCTCAAGTCAGCTCCAATTCTTACCAACCTTATGTATAACAGAAACTCAAGGTTGCTGGTCCTGTGCCATCCTCACAGTCTTTGCTTTTGCAACCACTGTTGCAGTCATTATGTTACTATCTCATTGAAGGTCTTTCTGTTTTTCACTGACCCTCTACTTTACTAAGCATGATGTCTTTCTCCAGCAATTGGTCCCTCCTGATGAAGTGTCCAAAGTAAGTATGACAAAGTCTCACTATACTCAACTTTTAAGGAGCATTCTGGCTGTATTTCCTTCAAGACAGATTTGTTAATTCTCCTGGCAGTCTGTGGTCTATTCATGATTCTTCACCGCACCACAATTTGAATGTGTTAGTTTTTTGGTGTTCTTTATTCATGATCTTTCTCATGCTTATGAGGCAATTGAAAATACCATGGCTTAATTCAGGTGCACCTTAGTCATCAAAATAACATCTTTGCTTTTTAACACTTTAAAGAAGTCTTTCACAACATGCAACATATTTACCCAGTGTAATAGGTCTTTTGATTTTTTTGACTGCTGCTTCCATGAGCATTAATTGTGGATCCAAGCAGAAAAAAATTGTTGATAATTACAATTTCTTTCCCATTTATCATGGTCTTATTTATTATTCTAGTTGTAGGGATTTTTGTTTTATGTTGAGGTATAATCCATACAAAGTTCCTGGGTGATGCATATGGTTACACGCTTAACTAGTAGCCAAACGGCTGGTGGTTGAATCCACCCAAAGATGTCTCAGAACACAGGCCTGGCAATCTGCTTCTGAAAGGTCACAGCTTTGAGAATCTCATGGATCACACATCTACGCTGCATATACGGGTCTCCATGAGTCAGAATCAACTTGATGGCAATTAACAACAGCAATGATCTGTACAAAATTACGGTTATACTTTGTGAATATGCATATTAATTTAAGTGCTTTCATAATTATCCATGTATGTGTCTTCTTTCATAACATCAGGGACTATGTCTTGGTGATATTCTCATCCCTAAGGCTTAGCAAAGTGCCTAGTACATAGTAGATGTTCAATAAATGTTTGTTAAATGAATTGTTATTTACTCAGTATTAGCTGAACAATTTCTTTGAGTTATGATTTTTTTCTATATGAAATGCAGAGGGTGGTATGTTCTAGATAACTACCAAAAAGTTATTGATGAGCTATGAAACAAACATTCCTTGCTCATGCCATTTTAGAATCTTATTTGTATTGAAAGACTTAGGATATATACCACTTACATTTCATATGTACACTGTAGAGTAGATAAACAAATTTTGAAAAATACTCACTTTTATGTATTTTATGTTTCCAGATTTTTAAAAAAATAATTTCAGATAGACTCAACAGTGAAAGGAAATTGCTAAAAAGAATAAGTAATCCAAAGGAAGGTATGCTTTTTTTATTTCCTTTCTGAAATAAAGATGTATTGAAAATTAAGTTATTCTGTATAGTGAAAAAATAGGAATTTTTTTTATTTTTAGATACAGAAAGAATTTCAGTTTTTATTCTTCATAATTCTAAAAAGGAATTTCATATAGAATTCTTAATTTGAAAAGAAAAACTGCCTGCCTTCATTTTTTACTAAGGATGTACAATTTTTTTACTTTTCTGGAGGTAGATAAAGGAAAGGAGATAGGGTGATTTTTTTAGTTTTCTCCTCAGCACAACAAATAGAAGCAGGAAAGCCTTGATAATCCTTTTTTGCAGAACTTTTATATGGGGTTTAGGTATTTCCCTCTTGCCATTTAAAACAGGTTTCTAATATGATTGCATTTTCCCCAGCAGTTTATTATGAACATTTACAATCATTTAAAAAATTAAAGCATTTTACAGTGGACATTCATATAGCCACACCCTAGGTTCTATAGTTGTTAACATTTTGCTGTACTTACCTTATCATGTATCTATCCATCTAGCTGCCATGAACCCATCTCATTTTTTGAAGCATTTGCAAGGGAATTGCAGACATCGTACAGATACGA